AGTATATTGCCTGCATATGTGTAAGTGCACCCATGTCACGTAATGCCCGCAAAGGTCAGAAAAAGGCTTCGGATTCCACTGGAACTGGAGTTACAGGCGGGTGTTAACTGCTATGTGTGTGCTGACAATTGAACCCAGGTCCTCAGTAAGAGCAGTCAGTGCTCTTAACCACAGAGCCATCTCTCCAGCCCCATGGTTTTGTTACTGTTTATAATTGCATTCTAATGGGTGCAGAGTAGAAGTGGTTTTGATTTGCATTTCTTTTTCTTGATGGTATTTGCAACATAAAGTGGTTTTAATTTTGATGAAGTTCAGTCTGCTTCTCCATTGTTGCTTATACTTTGGTATCACATCCAGGAACCCACTGCCTAATGCAACGTGTCCTTGTTTCTTCTAAGTGCCTCATAGTTTTACCTTACCACAGTTAAGTCTATGATCCATTTTGAGTCAAATTTTGTTTATGGTATAAGGAAGGAATCCAATTTGAGTCTTCTGAAGTAGATAGTCCCAGGACAATTTACTGAAAAGACTCCCCCCCCAAGTTGTCTTGGCACCCTTGTCAAAATTAATGACTGATGATATGGATGCTGGAGAGATGGCTCAGCAGTTAAGAACACTGGTTGTCCTTGCAGAGGACCAGGGTTCGAATCCCAGCACCCACATGGCAACTAACAACTGTCTGTAACTCTAGTCCCAGGGAATCCGACAGCCTCTTCTGACCTCCATGGGCATTTCATAACATGGGTACACTTACTTACATGCAGACAATACATGCATACACATAAAAATAATAAATAAAACTAAAAAAAAAAATTAATGACCATACATGTGAAGTTTTACTTCTCTGCTCTCAACTGTGTTATATTGGGTCAAAGTCTCTCTTTTGCCAGGACTATACTCACTTGGTTACTGTAGCTTTATAGCAATTTTTAAATTGGCAAGATTGAGCTGGGATATAGCTGACTGGTCCAGCACTTGCCTAGTATGTGCTGAAGTCTAGAATTTGATTCTCAACAGTGCCAAGACAAACAGACAAACAATAAAAGTGAAGCTTAAGTCCTTAAGCTTTGTTCTTTTTCTTTTTCTTTTTTTTTTGTTGGCGGGGGCGGGGGGGGTCTCCTTGTAGCCCTAGCTGTCCTGGAACTCACTATGTTGACTATGTAGACCAGGCTGGCTACACAAAGATCTGCCTGCCTCTACCTCCCAAGTGCTGGGATTAAAGGCATGTGCCACCATGCCGGCTGTTCTTTTACTTCATTTTCTTTTTTTGAGGGTGAAAGGTTCTACAGGTTGAGCTTAGAACTTGTTCACTCTTTTTTTTTTTTTTTTTTTTTTTTTTTTTTTTTTTTTTTCTTTTTGGTCTTTTTGAGACAGGATCTTTCTGTAGACTCAGCTAGCCTGGAACTCACTATGTAGACCAGACTGGCCTTGAACTCACAGAGATCTGCCTGCCTCTACCTCCTGAGTGCTGGGATTATAGGCATGATCTACCACACCTGGCTGAACTTGTTTACTTTCAAGCATGTGCTCTACCTCTGAGTTTTACCCCAGCTCTTGGTTTTTGTTTTCTGTTAAAATTAGCATAATTTATTGATTGGGTTTTGTTTGTTTGTTTGTTTGTTTTGGTCTTTTTTAGCCCCAGCTGGCCTGGAACTCACTATGTAGACCAGGCTGGCCTTGAACTCACAGAGATCTGCCTGCCTCTGAGTGCTGGGATTAAAGGCGTGTGCCACCATGCCTGGCTTGATTGATTCTTTAAGATAAATTGTCTTCTTTGGTTATTCTAGCTGTTAACTTATGTGCTTGGTTTTTAGAAATATTTTCCAGTGGGGGCTGGAGAGATGGCTCAGCTGTTAAGAGCACTGGCTGCTCCTATAGGGGACCTGGGTTCAGTTCCTAGCACCCACATGGCTGCTAACAACCATCCTTAACTCTAGTTTGGGGGATCTGATTTCTCTGGCTTCCATGGGCATTGCATGACACAGGTGCAGTTACATACATGCAGGGAATATAGTCATATACCTAAAACTTAAAAAAAATTTTTTTTGGTCTTTTTGAGACAGGGTCTCACTGTAGCCCCACCTGTCCTGGAACTCATAGAGATCTACCTGCCTCTGCCTCCTGAGTGTTGGGATTAAAGGCATGTACTACCATGCCCAGCTAAAAAATACATTTTTAAAAATTTATTCTTTGGCCAGGCATGGTGGCGCACACCTTTAGTCCCAGCACTTGGGAGGCAAAGGCAGGCAGATCTTTGTGAGTTCAGGGCCAACCTGGTCTTCATAGTGAGTTCAGGTTAGCTGGGACTACAGGGAGACCCTGTCTCAAAAAGACAAAAAAAAAAAATTATTCTTTGAAAATTTCATATGTATATACAATGGATCTTGATCATATGCACCTCCTTCCCCTTCCAGTCCCCCCCAGAACCCTCCCCAATACACTTCCCTCCCAACTTCATGTCTTTATGTCTTTATTTATTTTTAACCCTCTGAGTTCAGTTACTGTTGCCCATCCCAGCCTTTGGCCCTTGGTTTCCTCCCCCTCCCTGCCCCTTGGTTCTAAAGCAAGCTTGCATTTCTAATATAAATCCCACTTGGTCCTTAGATATGTTGCTGGGTTCAGCTTGCTGGTATTTTGTTAGGATTTTCTTTTTCTTTCTTTCTTTTTTTTTTTGTCTTTTTGAGACAGGGTCTTCCTGTAGCCCCAGCTGGCCTGGAACTCACTATGTAGACTAGGCTAGCCTTGAACTCACAGAGATCCTCCTGCCTCTGCCTCCCAAGTGCTGGGATCAAAGGTGTGCACCACCATACCTGGCTGGGATTTTTTTTCTATAATGTATATATAACATTTGTCTAATGGTTTCCTTTTTTCCATTTTCTTTTTTTTCTAATTTTATTTTTATTATTTTTATTTTATGTGTATGCATGTACTGCCTGCATGTAGTAAGTACACCCGTGTCGGGCAGTGCACAAGGTAGAACTGGAGTTACAGACAGTTGTTAGCTGCCATGTGGGTTCTGGGATTCGAACCTGGATCTTCTGTAAGAACAGTCAGTGTTCTTAACCACTGAGCCATCTCTCCAGCCCCATTTTCCATTTTCTTAAAATTATTTTGTTTGATTTTGTTCTCGGGATAGTATTGTCATCAGCTACTAAATTGGGAAATGTTTTGTCCTTGTGAAGAATGGGTGTTAATTCTTCCTTAAGTGTCTAATAAAATTTATCAGTGAAGTCATCTGGGCCTGAATTACTTTGGGGTGTTTGGTGATAGTTTTTAATTATTAGTTCAATCTCTTGCATTGTGTGTAAGGTATGCATGTTGCTTATAGACAGTGAAAGGAAAGATGTTCAGGGGTATGCTGACAGAAGCCAGGAAATGGATTTCTCATTAGCTCCACCTTCTCCCTCCTCTTCCCCTTCACTCTTCTGGGTCTCCTGAGGTAGCAGGCCTCCTCCTGATTGCATACTGTTGAGGTGAGGACAACCACCTGAGCCTGTTTCTTGACTGAGAAAGAGGGTTGGGTAATATCAGGTGACATAGGAAGGAATTAGTGTTCAGACTAAAACAAATGAGAGCATTAACTTTAAGTCTTAGGCTGGTTGTATGCATGTGTGCTTCGCACATGAGTGTGTTCTGCTGTGATATTTAAACAAAGAGCTGACATAAAGTGAGCTTGAAGATACCTAAGTGGGTAAAATGTAGAAAACAGTGTACTTCCATCATGTTCAAAGAAAAAAAATGAAGGGAGAGTTAGGGATACAGCTCCTTTATAGAGTACTTACCTGGCATGCACAAAGCCATAGGTTCTATTCCCAGGACCACATAAAACTGGGTATGGTGGCACATGCTTGTAATACAATCATTTGGGATGTAGAAGCAGGAGGATCAGAAGTTCAAGGTCATCCTCAGCTACATAGCAAATTTGAGGCCAGTCTGGGAACCTACCACTACACATAAGCTGATAAATGCAGTTAACTCTGGGTACTCAAGATAAGAGTCAGGAACTGGAGAGATGGCTCAGTGATTAAGAGCTCTTGCAGAAGACTGAGTTCGGCTCCCAATACCTATATCAGGTAGCTTATAATTGTCTGTCACTCTGGTTCCAGGGGATCTGATGCCCTCTTCTGGCCTCTGAGGGCACCTGCAGTCATGCACAGACACATGTACATATAATTAAAAAATAAAAGCTTTAAAAAAAAAAAAAGAAAGAATCAGGCAAGGGTGGGACTACGTAGGAGTTTTCTCTTATGATTATACTGCCTTAATGTTTTGTTTATTTTTGTTTTTAAGACAAATCCTTGGCAAGTAGCCCAAGCTAGCTTCAAACTTATGATCCTCCTGCCTTAACCTCCTGAATGCTGGAATTACAGGCATGTGCCACCACTCCTGGCTAATGATTTTTTTTTTTCTTTTAAAGTAATGGGACTTTGCAAAGCACAGCATTGAGCTCTTGAGGCCTCTCAGGCAACTGCCTCTGGAGCTTGTACACACCACTGAGGTGGTCAGGGGCACTACTCAGACCTCCATTTACTCAAAGCCTGCTGTGTTCCTCAGAAATCCTGAAATCTGCCCTCCCTTGGGAAACTGGTGATAGGTATCCAAGGCCCTCTGAGGTTGAATTTTCCCTTCTGAGCTACTTTTCTAGCACCACTGCTCCTGGCCTCCCTGTACACTGATGGTCAGGCAGCCCCACCAGGAAGCTCCTCATTCTTTGCAGGCACGATCATGTGAGAAGCGTGGTAGACCCTGGCAGTCTGGCCTCCCTGGGCCAAGTGAGCATCTACACTAGCAGCCTGTCCTTTTCCAAAGAAGGCAGACAGAACAGGCCTGCTGGGAAGGTTTTGTGTTTTAGAAAGAGGCACCATTCTTTGCTTCCATTAGGATTGAATGTGTCAGGCTATTCCAGGAGGGTGGGGCAGCTCCCTACCTAGGCTTCTGATGTCCCAGAATGGATTGCAGGCCTACATCCAAATGCTAGGAATCCTCCTGTCTCTCCACAGAGAACACCTTCTGTAGCGGGGACCACGTATCTTGGCATAGCCCTTTGGATAACAGTGAGTCAAGAATTCAGCACATGCTGCTGACAGAGGACCCACAGATGCAGCCTGTGCAGACACCCTTTGGGGTAGTTACCTTCCTCCAGGTGAGGCATTAGCAGAGGTTTCAGACATTTCATCCCTGTGGAAAAAGTACAGGACAGAGGGGGAGGTAAAGAGAGAAAGTGAAGGGGCAGGAGGCTGCCCCTGTTCTTCTCTTTCCTCTCATGGTCTTTCAGGTGGTCTTTCAGATCATGCAGGTGGTCTGATTTCACCCTCTAAAATGACAGAGGCAGGAGGGACTTCCCATCAGAAAAGCAGCTCCAAGCTTACCTCATACTTCCCCAGTGGGTGTGAATCTCCCCAGCTGCCACCAGTGCTTGCTTTTAGTTATGATGACTAGGTGAAGGTTTGGTGTCAAGAGATTTACACAAAGGTATAGCCATTGTTTGAACACCTGCCTAACCTACCCCTGCCTCTAGACACCTGGCCCTTTCCTGAGTTGGCTCAAGCTGTGGTTTGTTTCTTCTGCAGCCAAGAGCTAGACTCTGTGCCACTAGATACCTGGTCAGTCCATAGTGCCTGTCTGTGGACCCAGGCAAATCTCAGTCAGGCAGCTGCTCCCTCCTAAGGGAGCCACCCCATTTTGGACACAACAGCCCAGAAGCACAGATCCTACCTGTGAACCCCTATTTGAGATGCCCCTGAGAGACCTGGGGTTGTGAATTTCTGGGTGAGATGGCCATTAACACACTGGCATCTTGTCCTGGACCTCAGATTGTTGGTGTCTGCACTGAGGAGCTACACTCAGCCCAGCAGTGGAATGGGCAGGGCATCCTGGAGCTGCTGAGGACGGTGCCTGTGTGAGTATATGCCCCATGAGATGGGGACCTGGATTCCAGGGTCTGGGGGTGATCATCCTTCCTTCATTCCACCCATAGCTTCTCCTTGATTTGTTGTGTTGGGCACTCATTCCCTGATAGTCCCTGACTTCTAACATTACCCTGTATGCTCAAGGCCTGGAACAGCAAGCCAGGAAAGCATTGGCAAAGTGCATCAGTCCAGACCTTCTGTTACCATCATCTTTTCTTGTCCACAGTGCTGGCGGCCCCTGGCTGATAACTGACATGCGGAGGGGAGAAACCATATTTGAGATCGATCCACACCTGCAAGTATGTCTTGAGTGAGGAAAACCTTGCTAGCACACTGTGCCTAGGCCTCCTCCAAATAACACTGACTTTCATCCTGGGAAAATGGAGGAGCTTTGTGTGTGAGTGAGTAGAAATATGGCATGATTCAGAACTTGTCCCCTGAATTCTGCAGCATGTATAAGAGAGCAGAGGTTTTAACCCAGGAAAGCACATCTCTGACACACGTATTTATGCATTTAAAAAGATGAATTTTATGTATGTAAAATATATATTAACTTTTAAAAATTAGATCACCAGCAACAAAGGAAAGTAATCATAGTAAATATTGTTTCCTTACTCAAAATTCATTCCCCTACTCCCTCCTCCTTAAAAGAACAGACTTTCTTTCAGGAACCCTCTCTGTAGTCTCCCTTAGTTCATGGCAATAGCACAGGCAATACTGACTCCACAGCACAGCCGCAGGCTGAGTGATGATTGGTCTAATGGTCCCGTCACTCTTATCAACACATTTTCTACCTACCCAGGTAGGCTGTCATTCTTTGATGTGGAAAGGAGTCTTTAGACCCATAGGTCTGAGACTGACCCTGCTGTGGCCGCCTGGACTCTGTCAGTGTCACCTTTGGTGTTATAGGAGAGATGCTCCCTTGGCGCACAGCTGAGTGTTGAAAACCGCAAAAGCATTACTTCCTTTCTTGTGGGTTGTTGAGGGGCAGGAGCTGCAGGCAGCTGACCACATGCCTGCCTTACATTTGGCTCTTTCTGCTTACCTCAGCACTTGTGGCAGGTTACTGCCATCTCTGAACTTCACATGCAGCTGTCAGGAGTTTCAAGTACTAGAGTAGGGGAGAGGTGACAGATGGTCATGTAGCCTGCAGACCCTGGGTTCTTTACTGCTGACCTGTGAGTTCTTGGTCATAAATCCTCTTCATTCACAAATGATGCTTCTCTGTTTTCCTGGTGCTTGTAACACTGAAATACTGAAATGTTCAAATTGTTGCCAGGATCCTTTGGGGCTTTTTTGTTGTCGTTTTGTTTTGTGGGGGGGTTTTTGGTTCTTGTGTTTTTTTTGGTCTTTTTGAGACAGGGTCTCCCTGTAGCCCCAGCTGTCCTGGTACTCACTATGTAGACCAGGCTGGCCTTGAACTCACTGAGATTCCCCCTGCCTCTGCCTCCCAAGTGCTGGGATTAAAGGTGTGTGCCACCACACCTGGCTGTTTTTTGTTTTCGTTTTTTTAATTTATATATATATATATGCGTGTATTGCCTGCATGTAGGTTAAGTGCACCCATGTTGTGCAGTGCCTGCGGAGAACAGAAGAGACTGTTGTATCCCCTGGAACTGGAGTTAAGGACAGTTGTTAGCTGCCATGTGGGTGCTGGGATTCAAACCCAGGTCTTCTGCAAGAACAACCATGTTCTTAACTACTGAGCCATCTCTCCAGCCTCTGTTGTTTTAGAGACAGAGTCTCCCTATAGCCCCAGCAGGGCTGGAACTCTATAGACCAGGTTGGCCTCCGTCTGACAGAGATCCCCCTGCCTCTGCCTTCCAAATTCCGGGATTAAAAGTGTATGCCACCACACCTGACTCAGGATCCTTTGTTATCTTTACTTTGAACTTGGTTTCTGTGTAACTTTTACTTATTTGAGAACCAGGAACTGTAAAGGCTACTTCCTCTAAACCCTTGTTCTGCCCCACAGAATGGAGCATGGGTCACTGTAGGCTCCTGCTTGAGTCCCAGTTGTGAGTACTCAGAAAGACCTTGTTTCCTTGAATTGATAGGGTAAGCAAACCATTCTCCTGCATGCCAACAGCTATTCTCCCAAGTCTGAGGCTCCCTGAAAACCCAGCCAACAGGATCCAAGCACCCAGTGGTCTTTGCCATCAAGCAGGTAGCCAATGGGAGAAACACAGCTTTCTTTCCTGGTGTTTCCATGTACCAAGTGAGAATACTGTTTGCTTGTGCCTTCCTGGGGCCTGCTTGCCATTAGTTCATTTGAGAGCTGGTTCGTATTCCTTTCATCTAAGTTTTACTACTAACCAGCTGTATGTCTGTGTCCCTAGACATGAAAGTCCTTTCACTACTTTTTTTTCTTTGTAATACTGGGGATTCAATCTAGAGTCTCAGGCATATGAGCCAAGTATTCTATCACTGAGTCCACCCCAACACAGCCCACTTTTTATACTTTTTTTTTTTTTTTTTTTTCGGTCTTTTTGAGACAGGGTCTCCCTGTAGCCCAAACTGGCCTGGAACTCACTATGTAGATCAGCCTGATCTTGAACTCACAGAGATCCTCCTTCCTCTGGGATCAAAGGTGTGTGCCACTAGGCTAGTCACTTTACATTTGATTTTGAGGCTAGTTCTCACTAAATTGCCTAAGTAGCCTTGAATTCACTCTATAGCCCAGCAGGCTTTGCTGTCCTGCCTTAGGCTCAGGGATTAGCCAAGCTGCCCAGCAGGCACTTTGCTTCTGTGGCTCTTAACTCTTTCTTTTTACATTGAGAGTAAGTGTGCTGTACTGGTGGAACATGAGGTGACTGTCCTCAGCTCTGCCAAGGTGAGGGTCTCAGGGCAGCCAGTGGAAAGAAAACTCAGGGTTCTCCTCCAGCAGACCTAACCTGCCCACCCCTTCTCCTGCCTAGGGCACCTTAAGCTATGTCTTTCCTGTTGGTCAGACTTACCCTTCTCTGAACCCTTCCCCCCCAACCACTTCACCAAGGCCGGCAGCACCAGAAGAGAGGAGGAAGAGGGCCTTATGGAAAGGAGGCCACCTGTGATCAAGACATAAGCACAATGGGAAAGTGGCGTAGGAAAATGCAGGCGCTTTTGAAGTGCTTAGTCACAGGAGGTTTACTTGGCCTACATGGCTGTGTATGAGCAAGGTTCTAGAGCCTTCCAGATGACCTTTGATCCAAAGCCCAGCACGATAGAACTATGTTTTACCAGAAAATCTGGGGATGATTTGAGTACAACTCTTCCTTGAGGCCCTTTGGAGAAAGTTTAGAATGAGCAGTGCCAAGGTCCACACAAAGGCAGGGCCTCTGGTGGAGTGTGCAAATGGTCATTGCCTTCCAGACCCCCATTTGAGCCTAAGAAACAGAAAAGAACCCTATCCAGAGAGAGCCCTTTGCAAAATATGTTAGCTGGCAGCTATGAACTGGAAGCCCTTCTGCTCTGGAGTGATGGCCCCCTCTAGGTGTTAGAAGGAGGAACTACAGGTATGGGCTCCCTTGTCTGTGGCAGGCTTTCACCCTGCCTCCTATAGAGGGTGAATAAAGGGGTTGGGTTGGGCATGGTCCTTGCTGGAGGATCAGGAAGAGGGGAAGGTTCGTGCCTTTCCTGGGAGAAGTAGATCTTATCTTTGCTATATCAGCTCTAAGGGCTAGAAAGTTGGGCAGTCAGTCCTCTGAAAGAGGCACAAAGGCCATTGGTTGATAGGAAAGAAGTATCCCTAGCATGTTCATTCCTCCTGGCCTCCCCTAATCCCTGTTCCCCAGAGGAGTCGAATGGCTAGCAGAAGCCATCATTCATGTAACCAGAGAACAAGGTCTGCAAGACCCTGCTCCTGTAACAGCTGTCCCAGCTCAGAACCCACAAAGACTAATACTGGAAAGATAGTGACTAGTAGGTGGTAGTGACCTTGGGTCACCAGTTCTCTGAAGGAACTCTGACTCTTTGGTTCTTTTCAAGCAGGAGAGGGTTGACAAAGGCATTGAGACAGACGGCTCCAACTTGAGTGGTGTTAGTGCCAAGTGTGCCTGGGATGACCTAAGCCGGCCTCCTGAAGACGATGAGGATAGCCGGAGCATCTGCATTGGCACACAGCCCCGGAGGCTCTCTGGCAAAGGTTGGGCCCTTCCCCTGCCTTCCTCCTTCCCTTTAAGGTCAGCTTTCAAGCTCTCTAGGATGGGTCTTTAACTAAACAGCCTGCTCTGTGGTTATTTCTTGGCCTGACTTAAACAGCAAGTGAAGTTTTCCGACATGGGTAAGTTAACCAAGCTTCATTGGCCCATTTCTAGCCGTTTCCTGTGTGTATTTCAAATGTACCACCAGCAGGAACCATTGTGTTCTCTTTTGCCCCTTGTAATCTGAGGTCATGGAGGTGAGTGGAAGCCAGAGAACAGTTACAGGAAAAGTCCACAGTCCACTCAAGGACAAGAGAACAAGCATCGGCCACCCACAGAATTGACATGGGGCCCAGCTCTGGCCTGAAGGCCCTGCCAGACCTGAGATCTCTATCCTTGCACTTTCCTGGGCTTTTGATGAATGGCCCAAGTACGAGGCCTGCTCTCAAACAACCCCCATGGCACTGTCCTACAGCTGCAGTTAAAGAGGCTGTGGCAGGGCATCCTGTACCCACTGCCTTCTGGGTGAGGGCCTAGGGAAGGAGGATGTGGCTGACCTGTTGGAAGCTCCCCATGCAGGTCTTGGCTATAGAAGTGTTTGTGGTTTTCAGCTAAGGCCATCCCTAGTGAACAACCAAAGGAAAGGTAGCCATTTATATACACATGTGTTTGAGGCTTTTTTCTCCCTTCTCAGTGTGTCTGTCTTTTCACACTTATTGAAGACTAAATGCCTTCAACCCTGAATAAAATATCTAAAAATATGATTTGGGTTTTGTGCTTTTGAGACAAGGGCTCATGTAGCCTCAGTTGTCCTCAAACTCATATTTAGCCAAGAATGACCTTGAATTCCTGATTCCCTGCCTGTAACCTCACCACCACCACACCTGGCTTCTTTCTTTTCTTTTTTCTTTCTCTCACTCCCACCCCCACCCCATTTGGTACACTCTGCCACTTAGCTCCAACCCCTCCCCTCATACTCATAAAAGGTTTTCTCTTTCTGAAAAGGACAACTTAAACTCCCAGTGCAAATATTTGACCCCTTCTTTTTCTTCCTGCTTGTTCCTACCATGTGCCAAGTCTATAGGAGGGTCAGAGAGACGGGGGAGAGGGGGTTTACAGTTACCAGGATCATTTAGTTGCTTTTGACAAAAGAGTAATTTAGGGAGAGAGTGATAATCTTGTTCATAATTTCAATCATCACTATTTTATTTTTTTGTATTTATTGTTCAGCTCGCTCTCTCTCTCTCTCTCTCTCTCTCTCTCTCTCTCTCTCTCTCCTGCCCTCTAGCCTCCTGCCTCAGATTAGTGCTGGGATTACAGGCATGTATCACAACACCCAGCATTATTGGGTGTAACAAATCAACTAGCAAAATTAATAATCATCCCTTCCCATCTCTAACACTCTAAGCCCTGTTTCCTCCCTTCCTTCTTTCTCTTTCTTTCTTTCTTTCTTTCTTTCTTTCTTTCTTTCTTTCTTTCTTTC